AGGGGTGGCGGAGGAGAGGGAGGTGGGGCCGGAGGCGGCAAGGGTGGCGGCGGCGAGGGCGGCGGCGGCGAGGGTGGTGGCGGCGAGGGCGGCGGCGGCGAGGGCGGCGGTTGTGACGGTGGCGGCGAGGGAGGCGGAGGCGAGGCTGAGTACAACCTTGTCGACGGTCCGAATCTCGGTGCCGTCAAGACCGCCGCACACCACGATGTAAATCTTGGACTCCCACGCCGCGTACGCGTTGGCGCCGCAGCCGTCGTCTATCGTCGGCTTGCGCATAGAGAAGTTGTAAGTATTCCCCTCCTCCAGTGGAGGCACGAGCTGTTCGCGATAGTAGACCTCGAGCTTTTCTGGGTTCGAGTAGAAGATGGACACGAGGAGGCGCGCAGCGAGCAGGTCCGTGTCATCGCCGATGCCAAACGGGAGCATCAGCCGCAAACCTTTCGGGTTGGTGCCCGTGAACGCGAGGTCGTAGCTGCGGTTGATTGCGACGGTCGTGTGGTACGTACTGAGCCGCATCAGGCAGTTGTACCCGCCGCACACTTTCGTTTCGACGTGGCCCCAGCCGCCGCCGAGGAGGTCGACGAAGCCTCCAGAGGCGAGGCCTACCGGCACGAGACTTCGATGCAGCGAGTCCCTGTCCATGCTCTCGATAGTCAGGCGCGCCGGGATCATGGAGGAAGCAGTGCAGTTCCACGCGTTCCAAGCGGAGATGAAGTTGCAGCCCTGCCGGTACGTGCCGTAGCCGCTGTAGGCGACCTCGGCGTGTGTCCGCCGGCTTTGGCGGCAAGATGGGTCCATGATGGCGCTCGTCGGATCGCAGGCGCGACTCTCGGATGTCTGGTAGAAGGCGCGCTCATCGCCCTCATAAAATACCATCCGGTGCCTCCAGTCGGCCTCGGTTGCCGACGCCAACTCGCGTGCGGCGAGGGCCCTCCGATACGTGTAGCTCTGCCCACCCCCCGAGTAGTTTGCCCATCGCGACATGTCGTGCCCAGGGTCGGCGGGGTCGTTCAACGGCGCCGGGTCGTACAGCATCTTGGCGGGGATGTTGTACCAAGTGAACTTGCTCGGATCGGCGCGGAGCAGGTTCATGAACTCGGCGGGAGCTAGCAAGGACGTGTCGGGCCCGGATCCTGTCAGGGAGCCGTCGAGGTCGTGAAGGATGACGTGCTTGGGGCCGTCGCAGTCGAGGACGACGCACTTGGACGGCTGGATCCAGTCGCGCTTCGGGCCCGGGAGGTAGGCCAGGTTTCCACGGCTCACTTCGTCAATCGTGATGTTGGTGAAGAACATTGGCGGCACCGCGTCGGCGCTGTCCATGCCGCCGCGCTGCAGCGTCATCAGCACAGTGGATCTGCTGCCCGAGAAACCATAAAACGTGACGCCGGACACGCGCACGTGCGCAGCCAGCGGCGGGTCCGACCCAATCGGGTGCTTCGTGCCGTACCCACCCATCAGCCAGTGCCCTCCGAGGGGACCGCAGGTAATCGGTGAGATCGAGCCTTGGTTGCCAAAAACGGGCAGGAGAATGCCAACCTGCTCCCCGCTGCACGGGTTGCTCGCGCTCCGGCCGAGAAAGAGGGAGTCTTGTACGTGCACCGTCTGCAGGCGCACAGTGTGAGGAATGGGTGACGGCCCGATGCCGAACCACACCAGCCCAAACTTGACGTCGGCCATGCGGATGTTGCGGAGCGTGGGGTCGTCTGTGCCAGAGAAGCCCCATAGGCCAATGTGCGAAATCTGCCAGAGGGTGACGTCGCTCACTGGCTTGGATAGGCCTCCCTTGACGGCGACTCCTAAGCTGTTCGAATGGCCCGTGTTGTTGGAAAACGCGGACGGATTGAAGCCCGGGAATCCGTACGAAATGCAACCACTGCCGGCCACGGCGTTGCCGACGATGTGGGCGCTGCCGGACACCCATACGCCGGAGCAAACCTCTGAAAAGTCGAGCGCTACCATCCGTTGAGAGTACCCGAGGGCGAGATTGTTGACGAGTACGGATCCACCTGAGATTAGGTAGGCGGAGCCCGAGTTGTGGACGACGTTGTTTGCGAGCACGCCACGCCCCATGAAGCCAGGAGGCTGCCTCCTCCAACGCCTACCGTGGTTGGCGAGAGGGCGGCCGCCGTCAAGCCGCCTCCTTCAACCTGCACCAGGCCCTCCGCCTTGCCGTGCTCTGTCACGAGCAGAATTACATGCGACCCCGCAAGTGGAGGCACGGTAGTGCAGGTCAGCAACGTTGCGTTGCCCCCCGTCGGGGTGCATGGCTGTCGTCCAATAAAGACCGTATTCGCGTCGGCTGGCTCGCTAAAGCCTGCGCCGTCCAGCGCGATGGTCCATGTCGACGGCGTCGCTGACGCTACAATGGCACCACTGAGCGTGGCGGTGAGCGAGGAGTCGTAGCGGTAGGAGCAGCTTCCGCTCGGCGAGCACTCTGCCAGAACGTCGCGAACCCAGAGCGAGACAGCCGCCTCAGTATCGGTGATACTCGACGCAGCGGGCGTGCCCGTGATGCAGACCGCGTGGGAGACGTTTGAAGACTGAAGCTCACACGGCGTCCCCGAGATGGACACTGCGATGTCCCCCAGCCGATCGCTCAACCCGCTTCCAGTTATCGTGAGGGCCGTTCCTCCTCGTGCAGAGCCAGCAGCGGGGGAGACGGAGTGGACGAGCGATGCATACGCCACTTCGGCGCCCGCTAGCGCCGGAGCCAAGCCATAGGCGAGCCGACCCGCAGCTATGGCGTGCGGTGCAAAGGCGTCATGCGGTGGCAGGCGACATCGCAGCCGTCGTGCTTCGCGCGGAATGGTACACGAGCGCACCGGGCATGCCTCGTGAATGTGGTTCTCGTCGACCTCCGCCCAAATCACATCACACGGCTCGCCACCGACGAGCACCTCATTCTCCTCTGGGATCAGGGAGAAGCCGAAGCCGACCACGGTCAGCTCGTCACCGGGCGCGCTGGAGTTTGGCGACGTACTGAGGATCACGGGGCTCTTGGCCAGCTCGTAGCTGTACTGACAGCCGCCAGGGGCCAGACACGCAGCCTCGCCAGCACTGCTGCGGAGCGAGATCGCCTTGGCAGTCGCTTCCACAGCCGGCGGTGGCGGAGGCGACATCGGCGGCGGTGGTAGCTCTGGAGGGCTGGGCAGTGGTGGCTTGGGCGGCGGTATGGGTGGTGGGGCTGGCGGCGTCGGTGGTGGCAACGGCGGTGGAGACGGCGTCAGGCGAGTGCCGCAGTCGCTGCAGTCCATCCCGCGGGAGCAAACCGAGAACTCCGATCCGGGTCCGCCATCATCACAGACGCCGTCACCTGACCATCCATTGTAATCGCCGCAGTTATCCAAGCAGACTTGCGGTGGCTGCGGGGGCGGCGGTGAACTAGGCGGTGGTGGCGATGGGGGCGGGGGGGGCGACGGCGGCGACGGCGGCAATGGTGGGGGGGACGGAGACGGTGGGGGGCCTCGCGGGGCGAGCAAGTCGAGGCAGCTGGAGCCAAAGACGTACACTGAGTAGGAGGCGAAGAGCTCAACGTACACGTTCTCGTCACCGGGCGGAGCCCAGACGACAAATTCGCTTGGGTTCCCATCGCACGCTCGTAAAGACAGCCCGTCGCATCTATCCAACACGCTGCAGTACCCTATGCGCCGTCGCCGGCACAGGATGCACCGGCTTACGGCAGTGTCAGGAGGGTGAGCTGGTGGCGGCGGGGATGGGGGTGGGAGTGGCGGCGGGAGCGGAGGGGGGGGCAGGTGCGGAGGGGGACCCTCCGGCGGACTCGTGGGGGGACTGATAGGCGGATGGAGAGGGGGTGGACGCGGAGGTGGCGCTGGGGGAGGCGGTGGCGCCGATGGCGGCAGCGGTTGCATCGGTGGCGGCGCAAAGGGTGGATCTGGAGACGACGGAGGCGCTGGCGGCGAGGGAGGCGGCGGTGACGGTGGCGGTGGTGACGGCGGCGGTGGTGACGGTGGCGGCCAGGGGGGTGGCGGTTGTGGCG